ATTTATTTTACAATTATTATTTTTGTTTCAGGAATAGCAAGTTTTAAACACTAAAATAAAGGCATTATAAATGTTAAATGATTGCCGCTGTGTTTGATATGCTTTTGTTTATCACAAAAATAAGAAAATACAGTTTAACCAATCAATTATAAAAGTCAATGTCACTGTCAGAGTTAAAGGGAAGCAAAAGAGGAAAAAAGGCCCATACCTTAAAGAGCGAAAAATCGCGCACAACACCACACCCCCATTTCCCCTGCAAAAGAGGAAAGAGGCCCATACCTTAAGAGCGAAAAATTGCGCACTCAATAACTTTAACCCACCAATCTAATCGTATCACATACCAGAATTCCATATTGGTGCACACTCAATAACAGGGGAGTTGTTAATGAACAATCAATTCCGAATGCAAAACCATGAATTGCAGCTTCAACTTCACTCTGGGACACAATCCGGACAGTCCCGATTTACCAAGAGATCTCCATCCTTGAATGTGCCCAACTCGGTCCTGCAAACACCCAATATCGAAAACCCAATCACAAAATGAGAACAAAAACAAAAACCCTCATGACAAACAACCTGAAACAAACAAATTTGCTACAAACGAAATGTAAATCAATTTACAGTCCATTCGTACTTGCAGCGAGAAGATGGTATTTTTCTTAAGATAAATGTAGCATAATTGTTATTAGGGCAGTTCACAATTGAAACGACAATTAGGTAAAAAAACAAGCTCCACATGATCAGCCTCTCATGGTAGTTACGAAACCCAACACACAAAGTTCAAACTGAACAAGCATAATAAAAATCAAAATTAATATTAAAACGATAAATAATAATCATCAGATCTAAACCACATCACATCAGATCAGATCTAGAGCTGGCCGCAGTCGGCAATCACGTGGAACCCCTCTACCACTCATAGAAGAATACCAGTCAATATAAGAAGGAAAGGTACACGCACTATTTCTGCAGATGCATGAAAGTACCTACTATTTCAATTTGCTAACAATATTTAAGATGCACAATATACTAAGCGTGAAAATGTAACACATCATAGTATGACAATTTTAATCGAACATCCCAAAACAAACAACATCAGGTAAAGCATTCTACAGGTAAAATATTCTACAAGTTAAAATGCACAAAACATGAAGAATTGCAATAAATTCCTCATACCCTCTTCTGCCCAAGGAAGTTTCGTGATGCAGTGATGTGGGGGCGGTTGTTTTCTGGCTGCCCACATGTCCACCTTCAGCTTCTTTTCTGAAGTGGCTTCGTCGGTGATGAGCCAGAAATCGAGGTTCAGATGCTTGAAGTTAAGCGTAAGCTTGTCCCTGGGAGCCTTCACCTTGATCTACAAGCCATTGGGAACCATGGTGTCAGAGGAGATAATCGCCTTCAGTTTTTCGCCATTGAAGAACGGTTCCATCATCATGCACAGTCCACACCATGTGGCCGAGAAACCCACCACCATCTAAGGAAGAAAAAAGGAAATAAAAAATTACTGAACAAAAAAAAAACAGCAATAAGATTGGGAAGAAACAGAGCCGAAACACATAAACCGATAAAATACAAATTTATGCCTGAACTGATGTCGATCTTGGAATTGAGCCCGAAAAGCATCAATGATTGTAGTATTAGGGTTTTAAAATTGGAAGCTAGTTGTCGAAAGCAAGCAGATTAAAGGGATCTTACCAGTTGCATCGAAAGCGAGTTGCGGTCGAAAAGGAGTTGCTGCCCACATCAGGTGCTTGGTGGAGTCGCAATGGAGACGCCAGCGTGGAGACGAGTGGAAGGCCTGGACGAGCGAAGGGCTATATGACTCGCAGTTGGTTGATTCTGTGGCCGCCACCGCTGATTAAGCTGTACAGGATCCCATCTAGGGTTTTGGCTCCGGTGGGCGTAGAGTGCGCGAGAGACAGAGGGAAGGGGAGGGATACAGCTGCGACTTGAAGCAATTTATAGGAGAGAGACAGAAGAAGCCCTAGTTTTAATGTTGGACTTCTAGTTTAAAGTTTGGGCTTCTTAGTTGGATTAGTTGTTCATCTCGTCCAAAGCATTTCGAGATTTAATGCTTCCTTTAAAGATTTTTTTTTTTTTTGTCGTATTCCCATATTCATTCAGCGGCCTCATCACAAATTGTCAGTCCCTACTCGGTGGACTAATATTTTTTATTTAAATTAATATTTTTTGGAGCCCAAAGTATTTGGCACTGGACTAATTGTAAGGACATCATTTTTTACCAAAAAATATAAAATCGAACAGATGCTTAAAAATATCGAATCAAATCGAATCAATTTTTACGGTCACCGAATATCGATTTCCGATCATGTTTCGATATGATTATGGTTCATAATTTTTTGTAGTTCTAAATTACCAAACCGAATCGAAATCCAATTGGGCTTAACAAATTTTCTATATTACAAATAGTGAAAATCCAAATTCATTAGTCCTTATTTATTAGTCGAAATTTGGTCTCCACCATAAGAATTTTAAATAATTTTGACTTTACCAAGTGAGTAATTATATTTGCAACCATGCCTTTTCAACTGCATTTATTTGACCTCAAGCTAAAAAACCGTTAAAATATTAAGTGAGATACTATCTTCCTACAATCACGTTAAATATAAACAGGTATATTACAAATTTTAAAGGTGAAAATTCAATTTTGAAACAGTAAAAAAACAGCTAAAAGTGCATGTACAGCTGTACACCAAAAAATTCAAATACAAAAAAATCATAAATTATCGTTAAAAAGACTCAAAAAAAATTTCTTTTTCCACATCACACCATTATTTAAGGCCTATAACGTATTTTTATGGTGAAAATTTAATTTTGAGACGGTCCAGATACTGGCTGATAGGGCGTTTAAAGCTGTACATCGAAAATTTCAAAAAGTAAAATCTCGTAAGTACAAGTTAAAAAGCCTCAAACAATTTTTTTTTTTTTTTGCCAAAGCATTATTTAAGCTACAAACTTTGAAGGTAAAAATTTAATTTTGAGACAGTAAAAAAAGCTGCTAAAAGGGCGTGTACAGTTGCATACCTCTTTTGTTCTTTTGTTGTATTTTTTTCGTGTTGACTAGTTAACGCTTTGCTTTATGTATTTTGCTGAGCTGACAGATATTCTTCCTTCCAATTCTGCATAATCTTATGCGATGAAAAATTCTCAGGTCCCGATAACTTGGAGAATTTGAAGAAATTGACGGAACAATTCCATAAGCAAGGTCCCGCTGCTGCAGGTGGTGGCGCCACATATGGTGAAAGTGGGCCACAAGCAGTTGATGATGATGATGAGGTGTCTGAGCTTGTTGCTGTCGAGACTTTCGAAGCTGCTGCTGAGGAGAGCGACACACAAAAGGCATCTTAAATTTAATGGCAAAACACATTAAATGGTGAAGCTCGCATAAAAGGATTGAAGTCCTCAAACAGATTGTTGTCAACATTTCCAAGAATAAAATTGCAAATAGAATAACAAGAAAGTGGCACCAAAATCTATAGCTTTATTTGTTCCACATCACACCCGTACATATGATTTCAAATGAGTAAAAGACTAGTGTAGAAAAATAAATTGGGATAAGGGAGAAGAATTGGATTTTTTTGTGTCTGTGAATGCTGAAGAAAAAAATGGAGAAGGGAAGAAGAAGATAAGGAGAGGAGAGTGGAGGTGATAAGAGAAGTTACCGAAAATAAGAAAGGGGGAAAAAAGAGAAAAGAAAACGGAAAATGTTCTTTTATAGTCATATGTTTATAATTATGTTAGGTAGTTTATGTCCTTTTGCAATTAAAATATTATAAGTCGTAGATCTGCAATATTTTATGATGGAGTTCGTTAATAGAGTAATTATCTCAAGTAATTAAGTTCAAAAAGAAACAAACTTCGGCTAAATAAAGTGGGTCGAGAGGCGTCTGAACTTGAGATCGAAAACGAACTATTTCCATTTAATGAATAAATAAATACAATCATATATAAATAATGATGGCATAAAATTAATTAAAGGAAGGCTAACAATTACGTAAAGGTAAGCAGATAAATAAATACAACAAGTAGTAATAATTTAAGGCAAACAATTACATAAATAAAAGACATAAATAAAAGCAAGTAATAACAATTAAAGATAAAAATAATATAATAGATACAGAAACATATAATTCGAATGGGGCGTTACACAAACCCTTCACAAACTCTGGATTTTAAAATAGAGCAGCGAAGTCCAGTATCGTCGGTATCACGCTGGTTCCTCTGGCGGACGAGGCGGCACCCCGGTTGTGACCTGACATTTGATCTTCTTGTCCTGATTGGGACATGATTTTTGTCCGCATGATGAACACGAACACAAATACTGATAACTTATGTTACTCTTGTGTATGGAATCAAAAATCAGTATGAAAATAATATAAAATAATGATGTTAAAAAAAATATTTTGTGGAACAAAATATAGTGCGAACAGATGGAGACGACACCTAAATTTTGTTTAACTCTAGAGTAGAGTAAAATCTGCACTGGAATAGAAATAAGGGATGGAGATGGGCTGAGATCCATTTGCTCGACTTGTTACCACTACCAACACAAGTGGCAGAATAAAAAAATCTATATACATATTAAAGCAAAGCAGTTGGCTCAAGAGCTGTTTTCTCGCATAAGATATGTATTAATTGCTATAATTAAGTTGTTCTTAACAATATTTTTCTAATGTTAAAATGACTGGTCATTTGCTTGCATTTAAGTATCTATCTCTGGTTTGTAAATCAGACCCAAAATAATATCTTCTACCTCCTTCTCTTCCATTTTCCCTTTCCCATATTAAATTCCCTTCCTCTCCTCTGCTTCTCTTTCCCACCAAACATATCCTTTTATAGTTCGCGAAGAAGAAAAGTGACAAATTTGCCATGTCCTAGTAGTCTCTGGAGTGGAGAAAATCACCACTCACGTATGGCGACTTCCCCTTGTGCTCTTATCACCATGACCCATTTATCCAAACCCCATTCCGCAACCAGTAAAACGAGTTCCTCCACGCCTTGCTTTCAAAAACTTCCATCTTTCCACAATGAAACACGAAATCTCATTTCAGTAAATCTTACGGGGTGCTGCAAAATTCCTGTTTTGGGCAGAACTTGCTGGAATTGCAGAAAAAGTTTCAATTTTTCAGCAATGTCTTCTTCGTCCGGCAACTGGGTGGAGGTAGAGATTGACCGAATTCCCAACGGATACCAAAATGAGGATGAACTGATAGTAGTTAATTTTTACAGATTCGTGTTTGTAGAAAACCCTCGAGAGGAGGTTTCTAAACACCTCGCTTTCATGCAGGTCTCTCTCTCTCTTTCATTGCCTTTTACTGCTTTATTTGTTTTCGCATAAGGTGTGGAGCTAGAGCTTTGCATGGTTTGTGCTATGAGTGATCGTTATTTCCAGTGTGTCATTTTAAGGTTCAAGTTGAGTTCATTGAAAGGGTTGTACTTGATAGAATTTAAGGTGAGATTATTACTATAAAAAAAATACGAGCTGCTGGAGCATATAATCCTTATCTTACTATGAGTGATATTGCTATGCTTGTGCATAAGAATTTGAATTAAGATGAGATTTGGTTAGGTTTAAACAATGAGGATAGGGACTAAATCAGCTATTATATCAAATTCAAGTTGATTTTGTTTGACCATATGCCTGAACTACACACTGTTTCCTTCTTCATTAGTAACTGTATGCCTTTGGATTCTCGTTTTAGGGGCGGGATATACATGGTCGTATATACCTGAATGAGCAAGGGATTAATGCTCAGGTATATCTTTTTATTTTCCCTTGTCCTCTGTTCTTTAGATATATGAAGGAAATTTCGGAAAAATGCCACTTTTAGTTAATAGTATGAAATTAAACATGTTATGCTTTAGAAATTTGATATTTAAGTATTTTTGTGTGCATTTGGCATACTATCTCCATAGTAACAGTTTAGCAATTTAAAGTGTAAGCTCCCTTGACCTTTTAACTTGAAACAGATGGTAGAAAGCCTAATACCAGAGCTGCTACTGCTTGAATGAGTAATTTTTCTCCCTCAGCATATTAGTTGACTGGATATTCCATTGCTTGCAGTACAGTGGGCTGTCTAAAGATGCACTAGCATATGTTGAATGGGTTAGGGAAGACGACAGGTTTTCTGACATATTGGTTCAGATATCTCCAGCTATAAATGGCCATGCATTTCCAAAATTGAAGCTGCGTTATAAGCCATCACTCGTGCAGGCAAGCGAGATTCTCATTACTTCTCTTTAACTGTCTTACTAGTGCGCTTATGAGTGGCATTGCACGGGAGCTTAACATAAATAAAATGACAAAACATTAAATTTATTAATCTGCTTGGGTTTTGAGGTTCTTATGCTTTTCTGATATAAAGGCACAACATTTTGCTATGTGCTGAAGTATACACATCCAGCATTGAACATATGATGTATGGCGAACTCTTTACTACATACTTTGTTTGCAGTTGGAAGAGGGTACTTCACATCTACCTTTGCTTGATCTGTCAGGGAGAGCTACACCTCTTACACCGTCTGAATGGAGGAACAGGCTGGAAGCAGTTAATAGGACCGATAACTCATTGAGTAGAAAGAACACCAAGATCATTCTACTCGATGTGAGAAATGGTAACCCTTTCCAACATAGTTTGTCTTTAATCCATGTGCATGAATGTGTGCTGTTTTTGCTCCTTGGAAATGTACAAAGAGTGTACACGAGTCCCTATTTTATCCCTTTTCTCTGTTATTTATCACTATAAAATCCTGTTTGATTCTTTTACATGAATTCTAAACTCTATACTTATGATCTTTTTAGTTCTGTTATGTTACTATTATCCAGGTGATATGAACCTCGTCCACTGCTCGAGCCACTTTAAATTGTGTGTTTGTCATTAATAATTAAGAATACTGTGCAAATTAATTAATACTTTTATGCAATTAGGTTATGAATGGGATGTTGGTCATTTCCATGGGGCTCAACGTCCTAATGTTGATTGCTTCCGAAGCACTTCCATTGGACTATCTGAGACAGAGGCAAGACCATATTTTTTACATATTTCATATTCCCTTCTAAATATCTCCACTTTTCTGGGTTATGCCTACGATAATACCCATGTGAACATTATACCTTTATAACACCATTATAAAGGTTATTTCAACATCTTCGGTCTTGTATTTCAATGAATTTATTACCATGCATATGGTCAGTGGTCAATAGTTTCTATTCGATGTACCGAACGTAATGTGGACTGATCTATGACCAGGTTGCTGCTTCAGATCCTTTAGCGGCAATTGATAAAGAGAACACAGATATATTGATGTACTGTACAGGAGGAATTCGCTGTGATGTATACTCAACAATGCTTAGGTCAATTTCATGATTTCATCAATTAAGTTTTAAATACATTTCTGATTCGCTTTTGTATATTTGTGTATACATTGTTTGCTTGGTCATAACATTGTACTTAACTGGTCCAGCTTGATATGTATATTTTCCATTTCCTCCTTAAATTACCAATTTTTTTAGGCTATTCACATTGATAACTGTAGGGCTTGGAGTCACAAGTGTTTCTCATTTCACGACTTTGTGGTAGCTGTCTCTCATTTCACGACTTTGTATTAGCTATCAGTAACACCTGTGCCTTTCTATCTCGTGTTGGGAACTTGTTGGAAAAAGATCTGAAATGTTGTTGTACTAATTGCCTGACTCACATTAACTTCTCTTTGATGTTGGGGATAAATGCAGGGGATATTATGAACATATGTAGGATCTGGTCTGAATATAACTCAGTATAGTCGAAAATTAGATTCTCTGGAATCTAGTATGAATATTATAGAGCAAGCAATCTTTTTCCAGCAAACTTTTTTTTTTTTTTTTTCTNAACTTTTTTTTTTTTTCATGTATGCCTTGTTCACATGTAACACTCCCACATAAGGGAAAAAATATGATGCAAACAAACCTCAAGACTTAAGAGGTATATTTACTTTTGGGACTTAATGCTGCAGATTGTTTTGTTGCACTTGTAAGCTTGTCATTGTTTGCAGGCAGCACGGTTTCAAAAGACTGTATACTTTAAAGGGAGGTGTCTCTCATTACCTCGAAAATGAAGGTTGTGCTGGATGGATTGGCAATCTTTTTGTATTTGATTCCCGCCTTTCTCTACCACCATCAACCTACAATCCTGAAATCAGTGCTGAGGCAACTGGAAAAGGGTCACATTTGCTTCAGTCATTTGCTAAATGCTACATATGTGAGTCTCAAGTATCTGAGTTGAGGCACCGAAATTGCGCCAATCTGGATTGCAACTTGCTCTTTCTGTAAGCATTTGCTCTCAAGATGCTAAAAGCTCTGATGTCTATGACATGTATACTGTGACCTAAAGAAATTCTTGTCAATGAAAAATTATATACAAAGACCAAATAAACTAAACTATACATTGTGTGAATGCGCAAGTATAACGTTGCATGGGAATCCGATTACAGGTGCTGCTTGAAATGTGTGGATGGTTTGAGAGGGTGCTGCTGCATTAAGTGCACATGTGCAGCTCGGCTTAGACCTGTGCTGCAAGGGCACCAGAGATATGAGAAGTGGCATAACTATCGACATCTCGAGTCGAAGTAAATTCGGTGCCTTGAATTTCTCTTTACACATTTGCAGGAAGTAGTTTGTTTTTTTTTTTTACCTGTTCAATGATTTTGAGTTCATGTACGGATTGAAGTGAGGAACTTGTCCTGAGTTTTATCAAAGTGTTGAGTAGCTCCCAGAAAGGTGTGTATGTAAATAATCACATTTGAAAAACAATTCATAGCAGGAAAGAATCTTTGTTAAAATTTTGATTTTAGAATATGAAAAATAGAGAGAAAATCATATGTTAAAATTGGCATGTTGAATTCTTATTATATATAGATAACATGAATTTCATTTTAGCTATTTTTGTAACAATGTTTTGAGTTAAAAATTGAAAATAACTATATATGCACACATATATGAGAATGTTAAATCAATATTTCTATTCTTAATTTGTTGTTACATTATTTATATAAAATAAATTAATATTGCACTTAATTTGGACAAATCTTTGTGATGTCAAGTAATTGTTACTCACATTGAAATAATGAAACACAATTGACATAGATTATCACAGAACTATACCATATCATATGTAGTATATTACATATTCATATCTATACCATATCATATGTAGTATATTACATATTCATATCAATATTTTGATTTGTTGATGCATTAAATCAAAGATAGTATTTTCGTTTTAAAAAAAGTGCTAATTGAACGATTTATTGGTAATTGCGGCTCATTATTAAAGGAAATAATTAAATCATATTTTAAGATACTTTAATTACTCAAATATGTGAATTAATTAATATATGGTATATAGTGGACGAATTCATTTTTGGTTTTGATGTTGTTTCTATAGAAAATAAAGTAATCAATATATGGTATAAACTAAGCAAATTTATTTAGGTTATTTGATAACTGTTTTTTTTTAGAAAATTTATTGAAAAAATAATCAGTTACGGTGTACTTTTTTGTGTAATGCACATGCTAATATATTAGTTTTTAAGTGTGGGGTTTGATTTTTCGTATAAAATTAACATAATAAAATTACCGTAACTCTGACAAATAATATGAACTGATATTTTGATATAATGTGTGTGTATCGATATTTTTTTGTAGAAAAAGTTCAAGTACATTTTTTTTTTGTATAATTAGTGTGTCTCGATTTAATTCATTTTTTGTTACGTCTTTTCAAATAATTTTTGTGTGAAATTCACTGTTCATTTTTAAGCATGATAAAGAGTGTCGATTTTTTTGGCATAAAAAATCTTATGACTGGTTGTTTTTACTCAACTACTTAAATTTTTTGATTTGAATATTTTATACAAAAATAAATTTATTTTAATTTATTAAACAATATATTTTTTATATTTATACTTATTATTCACGTAGCTTTTTAAAAATATGACAAAATTTTATCAAAATAATTATTTTATGGAATCACGTTATAGTCAAATCGAATTTCTGAATAAAATTTTAAAATGACACATATTTATAAATTATATAATGTAATTTATTATCAATTATGTGCAACGCATAGGATGCGTACTAATTTTAAATAGACATTTTTATGTATTTTTGCACAATTTAAATTTTATATAACATTTTCAATAAATTATATAGGTACATTGTATTACATATTGATTGTATCTTTCTAATTTATAAATATTATTTAATAATATTTTTTAATTTATGAATATTAATTAATATCTACCCGTGCATCGCACGGGATTCGTACTAGTTTGGTATAGAACAAACTAGGACTGGTATTATTTGACAGAAAACAAAAAACGAACCGACGAGAAAATAAATCGAACCGAACCGACTCTTGTGTAACAGTAACCGAGAAAATAAACCAAACCGAACCGAACCGACTATCGTGTCACGGTAACCGATAGTCGGTTACCGAATACTTATCGGTTCGGTATCGAACCGATAATATATTAAAAAAATAGATGTTAGATAGTAGATAGATTATTAATTTATTAGGCATCTATACTTATATAATAAGAATTAACATTTATCCAAAATAGTAGGTCAAATTATGGTCAATGTCGAATTTGCATTAAATATTTTCCAAAACTAGTAAGTTTTTGTCCTTTTCACACTTCTCATTAATTATGTCCTTTTCACACTTCTCATTAATTATGTCTTTTTCACACATCTAATTAATTCATTAATTACGACATAATTATCATAAATCATTTCATCTGAGCTTTTATCGTGAAAATATATAGCAATTTGTTATGACCTTATCCCATTGATATTTCCATGAAGCGTCCTTATCACGTTCTATTTTTTAGTAACCACTCTATATCAATAACCGGATATTTGGTTAATGATAGTGTTGTTGTCTAGAATTAACAACTTGAAATTAAATACAGCTGATGTGAAATGATAAAAGATAAACGTAAAATTTGATTTTATTTGATATAATCACAAGAGTACAGGAGTCGGTTGTTTATTGTTTAACCGAGATCATCTTAAGCCATGTACAATGTGTTGGAAAAAGATCCTCGTACTATCATAAATTCTGCTATTTATAGTACGGTAATTTTTGTCTTCTTGCTCGAAATGGATAAAGACACATTTAATGTTGAGCTGCTTTTCTTTAAGCGGTGGGAAACATTAATGATTACTTTTTCGTTTTGCTGGTCCAATCAGAAGCTTCCAACTTGGTTTTCTGTTTGGATATTTGGACTTTGTGGTAGTCGGTTTGGATGGTAGAAATTTGACTTATCTCGTCATAATATTTGTTGAACTGAAGTCGGTTTACTCGCATTTGTTTCAATAGTCGGTTCCTTTGATAGTCTTCGGAACTCGGTATTTAGTTCTAATAAATGCCGACTTGCCTTAAGTTTGTCTTCTTCTGAAAGATTATCTCTTCAATGAAGCAATCAATCTCTGTCTTCAATTTTTGTAATCAAGTCGGATATCAACAGTGAGGCCCCCGACATTAGTAGGTATTTGGAGCTTTTTCGAATAGCTGCTGATGTCGTTTGTTGTTCTACTTTATTCCGATTTGTTTTGCTTTGTTTACCGACATGAGAACACTTTGCTGTATTTGTTATTTCGTGTATGGCACTTGGTCTGACATGGCGACTCTCAAAAGATGTGTCCGCATTTAATGGGTCCAACGGATATAAATTCGTAACAACATGGCGTTTCTGGACGTGTCCACGTGTATTAATAATTACTGTAACGTTACACCGTTTCGAGACACGTCCGTTACACGCGCCGTTTCCAGATATCTCCAACGGTTATAAATCAAAACCTATAAATTATAATCGGTTTCGATGTATGAAAAGTTTTTGTACCTTAAATCTTCTCTGCTTCTTCTTGCACTCTATCTTTTTCGACTCTTTCTTTTAATTTCTCTCTCGTGCACTTCATCGGTATTTTCTTCAATTGAGGGCTTTCGAAAATTTCGGTAAGAATTTGCCCTAATCTTTTCAATTTCTTTATCTATTTCGAGTTTTCTTTCGCTTTTGTCGATTTCGAAAAAGATGTCTGCTCAAGCTGAGGATAGTAGTAGCCGTACAATTTCTGATATTCCGATTTTCACCGATGAGGATTTGGAATTGCCTCTCGAATATTATCGATGGGATCCCTTGCTGGTAAAACGATTAAATCTTAATAGAGATATTGTCGAGGAGGATAAATGAGTCGAAGAGGATGCCATGTCGCTTCCCGATTACTGGAGACGTCCAGCTCGGCGGTGGCCCGAACCAATCGATGAATACAGAGGAGAACTAAGCATTTTGACCGACGCTGACATTGTCATCCTCCGAGAAGAGGTTTATATTCCCTCCTCGGTAAAGTTATTTGCTCCTTATCCAGGGGAAAGGATCACTTGTCCGCCGCCGGGCTGTGTAGGCGTATTTGCTGACTCGTTAAGATCGGGACTTCGGTTTCCTCTCCCTGCTTTAATCACAGACTATCTGAGAAATTGGGGAATTGGCTTGTGTCAGATAGCGCCGAATTCGTGGAAAAGAATTATTGGCCTTATGGTATTGTTAAAGGAAAAGGGTTGGGACATGCCAACCGTCGAAGAACTAAGAAGTCTCTATTCATTTAAACGATGTGCCGATAGACAAGTATCCGATCCTTTGATATGTTATGCTTGCGCGGGAAGACCCCAAGAAGGATTAAAGATTGGTGACTTGATTACTGATATTCCTGAATCACTCCATGGATTTCAAGAAGAATGGTTATGGGTTGGAGGAGACTGGCAGAAACTCCGAATTTTTCGAAACCTTTAATCGATGGGATGTCAATTCCCATCAATATTAATTCTGCAATTTGTAAGTTTTTTGTTTTACTTCTTTTTACCGAGTTGTTCTGACTTTGCTCATTTTCTGTACTAACAGGTCAATGCTTTGTTATTTGCAGCTAAAAGCAAAGGATCTAAACTCGGTTCGACTCTAAAAGAAAGGATTACCGAGTTATTCAAGTTGAAAAAGGTTCAACGTAGCTTCAAGCTGATTCTGAAGAACACGAGATTGAAGGCTACTGGTCTTTGCCCTGAAACTTCTGACAGTTCTTTTCAACCAGGTAGACTTGACTAAATTTTCAATCTTATGTGAAGTCGGTTGCTTTTGAAAGCCATAGTAACTCGGTTCTGTATTTGCAGTTTATTATCCACTTATTGGAGTCTTCGGTTTTAAGACCATTCGCGACGCAAAAGCTTTTTGTGAAAAGAGTCCGAATTTGGACCTTCGAACCAAAGTCGGAAAGAATAAGGAGTTGCGTTTATCTGGAATGGGTCGTAAGAAGTTGGTGAAGGCATATTTGGAAAATCCAATCATGAACCCTCCGAAAACTGATGTCGGTGATGGCGCGACATCGGCAGCTGCTATTGAGATATCGCAACCAGATCCATTAGCTATTGCAGCAGCGGATCCTATGGCTGCTATCGCCGCTGCTACCGCTGATTTATCTGAGATTGAGCCGGTTGTTGAAGCTACTCCAACAGAGATTCCGCCTGTTATTGAAATCGCTTCCGATGAGCTTGATGGTGACCGAGGAATCGTTGCAGAACGAGAAGTTCCAGCTACTCGGTCTAAGAAAAGGCGTCCAGAGAGCGTTCCTGTTACGGAGGAACGAAGAAAAAAGAAGCACGATATCGGCGACAAAGGAAAGAAAAAAGGACCATTAGTCGATCGATCCTTTTTGCCCATTGACGAAGAAAGGGCTCTGAATTTTAGGCAGCCACGGGAGTCAGTCGAGAAATGGTTTTCAACTTTTGAATCAGTTGAGATTCCCGAGATCACAAGCACTGTGGAATTGCCGGGCCATGTAATTGA